AGACCGGTTAATCTTCACTCCCCACATGCATCAATGGGTCTTGGGTGCCCATGACCCTGTCCCTGATTCACAGGTGGTCCTTTCTCTGGACAACTTTTGGTGGATATTAACTACTGCATACAGGGAACACCTTACAAGACCTGCCATTTTGGAGATACTCTGACCCATTAGTCTAGCCATCACAATTTGTCCCTTGTCAAATCACTCAGATCTTTATGCTTACCCATTTTTCCTGCTTCCAACACGTCGACTTTGAGGACTGACTGTTCACTTGCTGCCTAATATATCCCACTCCTTGACAGGTGTCAGTATAATGAGATAATCAGTGTTATTCACTTCACATCTTAGTTGTTTTAATGTTATGGCTGGTCGGTGTATACTGTTTTTATCACTTGCTACCTATCCAACAGCCTTCTGATAACTGAGAAACAATTACATGGTCTAGCTATAGTTGTTTTTTTGTTGTTTGTTTGTTTGTTTATTGTTAATGGTTCTTTTGCTTTTGTTTTTTGTTTGGTTGGTTGATTGATTGATTGATTGATCTATAATGCCTGTGAGGACTGAAGCTGATAAAGTGACACCCGTCAAGCTGATGATGACGTCACGTGATCGGGGATGAAACGCTCCCTTCCTTTTGTGCGTTGCATTGAAACAGTGTACATCCCTGTTCATATTCGAGTGGACAAGCATTAGATATCATTTTTTAACAAATAAAAAAACGTCAAGGACAAATCGAGTCCAACCGTTACTAGTGTTTCTTTAGCACAGGGAGGTAGGGGCGCGTGCGCGGCGTGAGCCGCAGCGACGGTCTCCACCCGGTGCGGCTCGGGGCGCACTGAGAGGAGGAGCCGCAAGAGGTGGAGGAAGAGGAGGAGGAGGAGGAGGAGGAGGAGTGGGTGGTTCACTTCCCAGCTGAACTGGCTGTCTGGATTCTGCACAACAAGGAGGCTGACAGAGTACGATGGCGGCTGGAGGAGGATGTGCGGACAGCGCGGATGAGTACCGGGCCGAGGTGGAGCGGCTGAGCCGCGAGCTCGCTGAGGCGAACCGGGAGAAGATCCGCGCGGCGGAGTGCGGCCTCGCTGTGCTCGAGGAGAACCAGAGTCTGAAACAGCAGTACACCGACCTGGAGGCTGAGCAGGAGACGCTCAGGAGTGAGCTGAGGCAGCTGCATGAGGTAATGCACCAACACACATCACAGCACAGTTTCTGATCATGCAGGTATGAAGAGATCCTCCCTCTCTCTCTCTCTCTCTCTCTCTCTCTGTGTGTGTCTCCCTCTCTCCAAGTTTCAATTTCAAATACTTTATTGTCATGATTGTTTACATACAATATTGCTAAAGCATCTATATATATATATATATATATATATATATATATATATATATATATATATATATATATATATATATATATATATGAGTAGAAAAAAGAAATACCAATAATTGAATTGTATAGTTCACACATATAGTTTTGAAATAATGTTTAGTTAAGTAGTTAAGTATGAGTATTATGCTGTATTTTGCTACATATAGTTCAGGTGGCTTCCTCTTTGGCTCCATGTCATTGATTTAAGCTGTCAAGGTAAGCATTTTCTTCAGAAGTCTTAGGTCTGATTGGATGCCCTCCAGCACACTGAGTTACTGCTCCATCTGTCTGGGATTGTATCTTCTCTTAATGCTTAAAGTGACTGCAGTTTATAGAATTCATGTCAAGTAAGTGTTTGGTGATGAGTTTTGAGTTCTATTTGCCTTTACTTCTTAAGTCTTCTGTTAGGCACCTTGTTGTCCCGGATCTCAGTCGCAGGAAGAAATAGTCCTATTGATCTCAACTTTCCTGTGTATATCATGAGTGTACTGATGTGAATCGCAGAACCTGCGAGGACAGCTAAGAGTTGTTTGTTTGAATAATGGGTCACATAGGGGGCATGGTGGATTAGTGGCTAGCAAGTTAGGGGTTCGAATCCCGCCTCCACCCTGTGTGTGAAGAGCTTCCTTTGTGCTCTCGTGAAGGGTACTCTCATTTCCTTCTCCAATCCAAAGACATGCGTTGTAGGCTGATTGGCTTTTCCAAATTGTCCGTAGTATGTAAATTAGTGTGTCTTACGACTGGTTGGCACCCTGTGTCCTGAGTTCCCTGGGATATGCTCCAGGCTCACCCACAACCCTGTGTAGAATAAGCAGTATGGAGAATGAAGTTTTTGCAGCTGGGGATCATATACTATATTAGTGGCTAGCCCTGTCACACTCATCATTATAGAAAAATGTGGTGATTCACCAGGTTTATGTTTTTGTGTTATGCTATGTTAATATGTGGTAAGTTTTGTCTCACAACACAAGGATTTTGCAAACATTAATAATAGCTGGTCCTGGGAATGAGAAATGTGTGAAAGACAAGAAGCAATGCCAGTTGTTCATTATCCAAATTTTGGCTCAATGTAAATGATTTACAGAAAACAAAAATGTAATTAAGGAATACACTGTGCATGAATTAAAAAAATTTAATTTTCCAAATACCAAAGAGAGCCTCTTAGTTACATGTAGCGTGTAGTTGCACAAAAATAAATGCCATTTTTTGTGATTGGCATGTCATTTTACTGTATAAAGCTCATTTCTGGCAACTTCTATGGCAGAAAAATGCTTTACACATTGAATTGCTCTCCATTGTCTCAATCACAGTTCTGACATCTGATTTACATACAGTACTGTGTATACACATACATATTACAAGCCCAAAGCATTTGTTTTAAAACAATTAAGTCCCTTAAGTCACCAGATTTCTTCAAACCATTTTGTTCTATGTTAATAAAGAATGTACTGACCTCTGCCTCTTTGGGGGGAAAAACATTGGACTCACGAAAAAAATAAATATTTTAACCGATTTAAAGCTAATGCTGACTAATGTGCCATACTTTGTTATAATATGTATAAGATTTGAATCCTTTCCACTGCATTTACATAAATTCTACAATTTAAGGATACACTGGCAGCTTTCAAGACCTTATGTTTTGGGTGTTTATTTGTTAAATGAACTCATTTAAAGAAATGACAATGAGAAATCTAAACAGAAGGTGAAAATCTTTATCACTCTAATTACAAGACACTTGTAGCATGCCACCTATTTATGTCTTGCGATGACTTCTAGCACTATCGATGAGTCTTTATTGCCCTTTATTTTTTTTATATATTGGCTTATCGCATTTACCCTCCAAGTGTCCTCCAACTGTATTTAATAGACCGAGTCTCATTATGAACTGAGAGTGATCCAGCTTGTAGCTTTCCTATCGTTATGTTTGGACTGTGACTATATGCTGAAACTATAATTAAACATAAACTCCAGTTTTGAAAACCTTTTGATTGGCACATGGATGCGCAGTATTTCTAATGGAGTGAAAATTATTAAAGAAGTCTCCAGGTTGTGGGTCTTTGTGTCAGTAATAGCTTTTATACCCTATGATGGTTCTTGGTACTAGATCAGGAGAATCAGCCCTAAAGGCTTGCATGGCTTTAATTAACTGCTGACTTCACACCCAGACTGTGTTCAGCAACCATGCTAACTAAAAAAAAGCTCCTCTATAGCACTGTAATGGGTTTTGCTTTCACTAAACGTCAGGTGTAGTAATTATTTCATAAGGTATTTCATGAGAATGTGAGGGTTGCTTATCTGCTGCTTGCTGAAAACTGTGTGTGTGCGTGTGTCTTTGTCTGTGTGTGTATCTGTGTGTGTGTGTGTGTGTGTGTGTGTGTGTGCGTGTGTGTGTGTGCGCAAACCATTAGATAATATCTGTTTTGGCTGTTCTGGGGAGCTGGAGTGTATGTAACTGAGCTTGTCCTGAGGTGATGTTTCTCCTCTATCTATTCTCTCCATCTTTCATGTCTTAAATGAAGATTCAGCAGTACATTTAATAAAAATCCTAAATCTCTTTTTCCTGATAAATGAAGTGTTAGGAGTAGTATCTATCACCTGTCTATTATTTGCAATAGCAAAAAACATTATATACTTCTATAGTAACAACTTAGACATGGATTTGTATAGCAGATGGTACTGCACATTAGGGATGTCACGAGAACCGATACTTTGGTACCAAGTCCGTATCAACATTCTTAAAACATGACGGTACTTGTTTTTCTGCATTAACGTAAGTACAGATTGTAATAAAGGTACCGAGGTTGCATTTCTTCCGGAACTGAAGGGGGCAGTAAATACGCGTAAGTGTTTTAGTTGGTCCACAAGTGGTGAAGAAGAACACCTACAAGCACACGGGAAACCCTACTGAAGATTAGCTTAGCTTAACAAGTTTAGCTCCGCCTCGACTCGTTGAGAGGAAAAGAGAGGAAAGCTAGCAACCGATGCTATCGTTCATTTCAAACAAAGCAAGGAAACACCTGGAATTTGGCGAAGCACCTGAAAGACTAAAATCTCTCTCTCTCTCTCTCTCTCTCTCTTTGACAGTATCAGCCAGAGGAGGATGTCCTTCAGGAGTTTTTCATTTTATAAAAAAAACAAAAAAAAAAAACCTTTTTTTTTTTTTAAACCACACCGTGGTATAGAGTATCGACTACTAGATTCTTGGTATTGTGACATCCCTATTGCAAATACAGTGCCCTCCAATAATATTGGTATCCACTGTACATGGATTCCAAATTATGTGTGTAGGTGTTGATATGAGCTTGTCTGTGAGATGTTTATTTAGCATTTTTGGAAGGAGTCTCCAGTGTCAGCATTTTGTAGCAGTCAGAGGTAAAACTATAACTTTAGGTTCCCTTCCATGGAGAAGTCTTCAGGATGGACAACTTTGTGCTTTACGGTTTTTTGGTAACATGACAGGCTGAATTTCTTTTTGTCTTATTAACTTCAAGAGACAAAGCATAGATGCTAGTGAACTATCTATAGCTGTTAAAAATTAAGTAATAATAGGAACTAAATTGATGTGTGAACATCCCACACTAGTAAATGTGAAAACAGATAAAGACATATGTTCTTTGTTGGCAAATTTTGGGGGCATGGTGCTTTGGTGGTTAGAATGTTTGCTTCACAACTCTGGGGTTGTGGGGTTCGATTACCCACCTTTGCCCTGTGTGTTCCGAGTTTGTATGTTCTCTCTGTGCTTTAGAGGTTTCCAAAGACATGCGTTGTAGGATGATTGGCATATCTAAATTGTCCGTAGTGTGTGAATGTGTGCGGTTGTGCCCTGCCACTTGTCCAGAGTGTCCCCTGCCTTGTGCTTCTAGATGAATGGATGGATGGCGAATGGTGAAATATCAAACCAAGGCTGACGTATACTTGAGCAAAACAAGGCTTAAAAATGCCTGCATTGGAGCATTGGGTCAAAGAATGAGAAAGTTAAGATACCATACAACCATTTCGTCCCATTTTCACATCAGCAGGGGTCTTGAGGAACCAGAGTTTCAAAGTTTAATTTATCAAGGCTGAGGGTGTGTAAACCGTGGTCATGCCCTTACAGCCTTATTTCACTCACCCTTTTCAGCTGAATAGCATGCTATTGATTCCTAACTACAGTGCTGACTGATGTTTATGTTATAGGCGCCATTGTTCGCTACAGCTACACATGCTGTATTTACAGTGTCCTCTGTGTGAACTCATAGAAATGGCTAAATATTTACTTCCTTTCTCTCAAACATTTATAGAGAAGAGGTCTAGCAAATCACATGATACAGTGAAGATTTTAGTGTGTCCTGTGGTAACATTCGCTCTGATTCGGCTTCATGAAAGAATGACCTCTCTGTTCATCTCTGTATGCAGGGACAACTTTGGGCTAGAAGTCCTTTGTAATTTCTTAAAAAGGTTTTTTTTTATGTTTGCTGCGGCAAAATGAAAATTGGGACGTAGAAAGGGAGCTGCGCTGTCGCTCCCGCAGGCATGTGTATTGATTTCTGACCTACTTGATCTGTAAAGACTGCATTCTCCAAGGCGGCAGTGTGTGCTCTCTCTCAGTGCTTTCTTTGCAACTGAGTACCCATGAAATCGCTTACTTTTCTTTTCAGGATACTAATAGTACTTGGTCCATAAGGGACTTCATGATTTTTCGTGATTGTTGCGGCCAAAAATGCTTGATTTTGCTGCGGTTTTTTATAAATTTGCAATTTGCAGAGTTTTTGTGAAATTGTTTTGCATGATCTTTCACAGTGATGTCTGTTGGTAATTGAGTACTTTTAGCTATATTCATGTTCATCGCACTTGAATCGAAGAAGGCTTTGGCTGAATGCATGTTGTGATGACATCATACGGTGCTTTGTGATTGATCCAAATCTGCACTAGTTTTGAAAAATTAAATATTGGAATATTGTTGAGTTTCCTTGATTCGTTCATTTCTGCGATTGCAAAATCCTGGACCGATTTACAATAGTAATATCTGATAATGATCTCATCAAGTACAATGGAAAGCCTAAGAAATTTAGTTCGATTGCCTTCTTTAAGTCTCTTGACATAAAGCCAAATGTTGTGAAAAAGATAAATCCTCATGTTTAATGTAGACATCAACATCTCATGTATAACCTCCGGAAAACTCCTTTTACATTCAGCCATACCATTTTATGATGAAAAACTGAACCAAGTACTCAACTGTGGTACAGATTTGGATTAATAGTTCCATATTTGGATAAATATCTGAACCGTACCCAAGAAGCATTGTAGATGGATGTTAAGGAGGTGTGAGATGTCCAGTATTTCACAAACAGAGGATGAAGTTAATTATATGTACATTATACAGACAAGTATCTCCATTAATTCCTTTTGTTTTATTCTCTTCCTTTATTTCCAGCTCTGGAATACTATCTCTTAATGGGCGACACAGTAATTGTGATTATGTTGCTACATGTGGACTGAGTGTTTTGATGTGGTTAAAAATTGGATGATATACTGTAAATGCTGTACTAAATCGAAAACTCAGAAGCACTCATCACCACCACATGATTTCACTTAGATCTTTCAGTAGAGAAAGTGAAGTGTGGTTGGTGTAGTCAGTGATGTGGCCTCTATAGCAATGCTGGTTCAATTATCTGTTATAATGGTTGGTGCTCATAAAAAAAAAGTCATTAAGACTATTGTATTTGTGATGTAGGACGTTGGACCACAAACACACACACATTCCAAGCCCAACAGATGTACAATGTATTTCTGAAAACCCTCTGCTCTATTAACTGGGGGTAATGTCCTAGTCCAGGCTCTTATCATCTCTAAACTGGACTACTGCAACTCACTGCTTTCAGGCCTCCCAGCCAGATCAAACCCCTTCAAATGATTCAGAATGCTGCAGCGCGCCTTGTCTTCAACCAGCCCAAGACTACTCATGTCACACCCCTCTTCATCTCCCTCCACTGGCTTCCTGTAGCTGCCCACATCAAGTTCAAGGCCTTGATGCTCACCTACAAGACCTTGTCAGGAACAGCACCCTCCTACCTCAACTCTCTCCTGAAGGCCTACATTTCCCTCGCCTGAAGTCGATCGACTACGCGACCGACGTTTAGTAGTTCCCACTCAGCGAGGCGTAAGGTCTCTTTCCAGAACCTTCACACATACCGTTCCCCAGTGGTGGAATGCTCTTCCGATCTCAATCCGGACTGCAGAGTCTCTCACTATCTTCAAAAAACAGCTAAAGACCCACCTTTTCCGTGAACACCTAACCAACTCCTAAACAAACAAACAAACAAAAAAAAAACCCCAGACAATGCACTTACACCTCTACTCTGTACACTTTGCTTCCTCTGGTATTCAATTAATGGATCTTGTATAGTAGCACTACTGGTATTGTTTCCTGCTTGATATATCGCTTTGCTTATTTGTAAGTCGCTTTGGATAAAAGCGTCTGCTAAATGAATAAATGTAAATGTAATGTACACACACACACACACACACACACACTCACTCACACTCACACAGACAAAGCACATACTGTAAAAGTGTGTCGAGTGGCTGAAAGCACTGTCATCAAGCCACACTGTACAGTTCATACTCGTCTATCTCTGTCTCTTTAGTGTAATGAGTGTAAATGAACCATTTGTAGCCTTTCAGCGTCTTTATGTGGGTGGAGTACTAATAGCATCATCAACTCAATTCTTTTCTATTATATTACTGTCATTTATTCATCATGCACACAAAGTTGCACACAAACACATTTACTGAAAATGGAGCAATATATCCTCACATATGCTCTATAAATGGTCAAATTTGTTTATTTCTATGGTGATATGATATAGATGAAATAAAGTATCGTTCTAATGAAGGAAGTGGGGCTACCCCTTCTCCTAAATCCTAATGTAACCCCTGCACCTTAACAATAGCTAGCCAACTCATGAATTTTATTTCCAGTGAATAACACCAAGGATTTTTCAGTGTCCATATTGCCCTAGCAAGTGTTCTCACCATTTTAACCACTGGGTAACATGTGTACGCATCATTATATCTGCATTATGTAATGTCACTGATACAGAATACCACGACATAATGGATAACTGATTACCAATAATCTTCACCCATTTCTGTCCAGAATGCCTTGCTCAAAGACACTTACACGTACGCACATAAATATCATGCATATGTATAGTGGTAGTGTTTCATGTAAGTGATATGAATATGACGAATGAATAGGGGAGTGATATACACTATAATCATTTTTGCATCTATAACCGTTTAATTTTTTTCTCTTGCGGGAGAGCCATGATTTCATGCTGTTATCTTGGTTGTATTTGATTTTCACCTTGACTATCTATGGGTCACGTGATTTTCGTTTCGATTTTAGCATGTGCGATTTTTGGGCTTTTGTTCCCAGAAACTATTTGTGACCTATTGCTAAACTATTTAGCTTTATAACATACAGTGAATCATATTCAATCAATATTGTAGAGATGTGATCACGGTTAAATTACATTTGTGCAGAACGTGACCTTCAAAATGGTTTACATTTAAGATACATCATTGTATATTGTGTGCCTGTGACTGTGTTGCAATTCATCCTATATAAGATCCCAAGGAGTTGCATACGATTGTTTTTCTCTGAGACTGGCGTGATCCTAAGACATCTTTATGATCCTTCCTGCATCGCTCAGTGTAGCTGTCACATTCCTAAGGGTTTAATAAGAGTTTCTTTCTTCACTCAGGGCTTAAATCAAAGGTGCTGCAGGACTAGAGTAGTGCTATTCAGTTTGCCAATACTAATACTGCTTTTCTGTGTACTGTACACATTAAAAACTGTCCTTATCAGCTAATAATGTAGGCTTCATGTATGTTTATTGACTATTGTCCTGTTATAGTGCCTTTTTGCAGTTTTTTTGCACCTTTTGCACCTTCTCTTGTTCCTACAGAGCAAGAATTTTAATCAGACCACACCCTGAACTTGCAGGCCTCTTGAGAGTCTGAATAAGCGAAACCTCTCCTCAGTCAATCCCACACGTTACTGTTCACAAATAGTTTCTGGGAACATGTGAAATAACAATAGCAGGAAGTCTATTCACATATGGCCCACCAAGTTCATTTGGCTTCATATGTATGGAAGCATCAATATACAGTCAGTAGTAGTAGTGAATGTGTACAGAAAATGTATAGAACAGAGCCTTTCGATAGTCTGGTAGGTTGATATTCGTATTTATATTTTGTTTTTAATTGGTCCAAATTTCTGCTGTTAGTATTATCTTAAACACAGAACAAAAGATACACTTGCTTTGAACACATTGAAATAAAACGATTCAAATCTCTTTGGGTTTAGGTAAGGCATTACAATAAGGTTCTCATGTTAATATGAACAAAACATGAATCTGATCATGAAGGCACTATAAGTAAAAAAAAAAAAATATTTTTTTTTTAAAGGGTTTAAAAAAAGTAACCAATACCTGTCTATTTTAACAATGATCCAAATAATCAATGCATGATTAACCAATGTTCATACCATCAGTGAGTAACCTTAAGCTCGCAACCAACCAACTAACCAACTACCAACATTCAGAATTGATGCTAAAGTAGAGGTGTGTCTTTTTTACTTTCTTGTAGGCTGGGTGCACCCACTGGGCTCTGAAAAGCGTTTACTGCTTTCATTCACTCATCATCAGTAACTGCTTTATCC